TCTGTAACATATAAATGTTTATGTGTGAACGGCTGGAATGAATTAATCAACTTATAAAACCCAATTTAGTGAATTTGAGAGGGGCGCGACTACTACAATAATAGGCTTAAATAATGTGTTATTTACTCACTGTACCAATATACCTAACAAGCTTATGTAGGTAGGTATTATTGATCACAGATTGACGTTTTTTGCAGTAGGGTCTATAATAATAAAATTTTCATTAAGCACTTTTGGAAACGTTTTATTTCTGCGAAAGTCTGTGTATAAAATACTTTGATAATACAGAGTGACTTAGGAGGAATGCGCCAAATTATAAGAAATTTCTCACAAACATAATTTTCAATATGGGTTTCATGTTATTTCAATGTTCTTTTGCTTTGAAAAATTGGCTGTGAACGAAGTGCAGTATGTGAGTGCCTAAGCAATGATGGTATCTAATCCAAATTTTCGTTGGCAATGCAAATTGTAAAAAGGTTTTTCCAGGCTTTCCAGCGTGAGGTCAACAGAATTGGGAATCTAGGTTTTTTTTGTAATAATTCTAGACGGTGATACTGTTGCTAAATGCCCTTCTTGTATTTTAGTCTCTAGTAGTCTTAGTACTTGTACGTATGTACGAATAACTATTTTATGTAATTTTCGAATGGAAATAATTTACAATCAATGAGTTGAAGTTCATAACCCAGAAATTCCCTATTAATAACAGTAGTGGACTGAGTGATACCTTGAGTTTTCCACCACTGGAAAATAAAATTTAGGAATATAACGATGCTTGTAGGTAATGTACCTAGAAAGTTGACAAGAATTCTTTTCAACCTAGATAAAAAAAATGGCGAAAAACTTGTAGTTTGATCAATTCAGCTATATTCACTACTAAACCAAACTTGGAAATTTTATACACTTTGGAATAAAAGTATGAGAATTCCATAAGAATAACTTTTCCCAGCTATTTTCTGCATCATTCTTGCAAAAAAATGTACATTCTCTGACTGTTTTAAAATCCTTGAAATTCAATTAAATCAAATCAAACCAAACCAAACCAAAGGTGTCCCTGATTATTAAATGAATAAATTACTGCTGGAGTGCACAATTGATAATAGGACAACTATAATTGACAAATTGGTGCATGTGTCACTCATAGCCAACAGAAATTATTATTGGACGATGGACGATCCAACATCAAGAACACGATGTTTGTGAAAATTGATGCTATACAGTGTGGTCAGCAGCAATGAAAAGTGAAGCAACATTATGTGAAAAATTATTTAATATTAATTTTGCATCGCTGTGTGAGTGTCATAATTACTCACTATTCGTGAGACAAAGTTATGCGATTCTAGAACCTAAACTAGTTTTCTTTCTGTCTCCTTCTTTTCCAGTGGTCTCCCAGGCGTACACTGCAAACGTTATGGACGAAAGCGTGCTAAAAGGCAACACCGCAATCTTAAAATGTCACATACCCAGTTTCGTTTCGGACTTTGTCAGCGTGGTTGCCTGGTTACAGGACGACGACGGTGGCCATGAAATCCTAGGCAATGAGAGCCAATATGGTGCGTTGTTAATTTTATTTAAAAATTAGGTACTCAATACTATAAATCAAACTACATACCTATCCTAATTTTTATTTGAGCGGGCACACAATTATCCTATTATACCTGAAAAAGCTGATCTTTACAAAATGCCAATGGCGCACTGATGTTTTTGTACCCTGTATTCGGAAATCTCGGAGCAAACATTAAAATAATACCGACCCTGTTGTAAAATACGTCAATTTTATAAAAATTAATCTTAATAATAATATATGTAGGTAATTATTTGATAGCTCATCATTATTCATTTGCAAGCGTGAAGCGTGTCCTCCCATTGATTAGAAGACAGAAAATACACATAATATGTACAGTCACGCACATTAAAAATGGGACACGCGATTTTTTCCATTGTAAAATGATCGATTGTCACCAGCACATATCTGCGGCAATGACATATTATTCTCTAAGAAAAACCGAAAAACCTATCCGCAAATATTAGCTGAGTTCGCAAGATAGCTTCAAGAGCAAAAAGATGAAAATTTTGACAGTCGTCACGTATTTACCTTATGTAGAATGTTTCGTGTTAGAAAATCAGTCGTATCTGCGATGTCATTTCCGAACTCGCCAATTAATTTAACACTTACAACATTAATTACTAGGTAAAATACTGATTTACCCATAATAGCGAAAAATGACAAGATCTGTTAGTTGAGTGTCCCAGTTTCAATTCTCATGATTGTACCTTGTTTTTGAACTAGGCATATAAATGCAAATTTAAATTTCCAAAAAATTACCCCAATTATGGATAAGCAGTAAAGGTAATTTCAAATCGTTTTCTGCTGACTCTCTTGAGATGGCACCAACTGGTTTGATACTTTCATCAAGGACTATTCAGTGAGTAGCTAGATAAAAAGTAGTACCAAATCATATATTAAATCCGCCGAGAAATAAAATTAAAATAATTTCCAAACTACATAGCTTAAATTTCCATTTTTTTTTTCATAAAATTGAGACTCTATGGGGATCACTGTAAAAATTTGCAGGAGGTTTTTTGATAGACGACGAAAAATCAGCTCTCGAAAATTTCAGCTGCAACTTCATTATGGTTTAGTCTATGAGCTAGTTTCGGTGTTACATTTTATTGTAGGTGTTCTAGCAAGACTCTAAAGTTGCTGAAGAACCGTCCCCAGTTTTCAGTTGATAACATCGCGCCATAATGATAAATTACTCTTACAATATAAATAGAATTTTTTTTCCCACATCTCTTGATATACTTCTTTTATACAAATTTTCCATCTTAAGATACTAACAAAAAGCAAGTGGAATGAAGTTGAAAGACAAGACAGCAGGCTAATAATAATAGGATTCATTCCAGCAGAGAATTAAATATAATATGTAAATGAAGTATGAATTGTTTGATGGCGGATGTGACATTTCATTTAGTGCGTTCAAATTAATTAATAAAAAAGGCCAATGTCAGCCACAACATCCTTTAATTGTGCAACATTTTCAGTATCTGAAATAAAACAAATATTATTACACCATGATTTATACGAAATTAGAGACTACTTGAGGGCCAGTAAGATTAAAGTTATTGCTATTATTTTAATAGTGGAACGTCACTAAAACTAGAGATTTGATTTTTCATTTAGAACTAATGAAAGTGAAGTAAAGTTTCACTGGTAATTAGAAAACAAAGAACTTGATAAATTAATAAGGAAATATATAAACTAATTATAATAATTTATTTCTAGAGAAACATGAAATTAGAACTTGTAGATTTTAAACAAAATCACATTTATTCAAAAACCTAAGAAATATTTTTCAAATTATGGAACAATATTGCACCAGTTATAAAAATAATGCCTGTATGTAAAATGAGTAATTAAAAAGCCAAACCGGTTTTGTATACAAACAATAAAGAAAAATGCCAAATTTCACATAATAACTTCAAATTTCTGCGTGTTTATAACCTTTCATGAAATGGAAAAAATTATGTGCCCAATAAGTAAATTGTCAGAATAGTTATTCAACTGATAATTATTTTTTCACTGGCTTAAAACTGAAATAATAATAGAAAAAAAAGTTTATCAATCAATAAAAAAAGGTTTTGGACATCTGGAACTCCTGCTGGCTATTACCTACTTCCTTATAAACTCTCTAAAAAATGTCGCATATCTTTTCCTTGTCAAACTCTTGTAGAGATCAATAGATAATAAAATGTATGGAATGTTCAGTTGAGAAGTGAATAAAAAGAGAGCAAATTTGATTGCCAATAAATGATATGAAATAAGCAAACATAAAATTATTTATAGGTACCTATATAAACTGAACATTCCGCATTTTATTTTTTAGATTATTGAATAATTAATATTAAGATACAATATTATACAACTAACTATATTTTAGTCAACCAAAATCGGGTTGCTATAATATAGAAACTATTAATTATTCCTGATGTTTCAATCTCATATTTCTTGAAATAGTGGAATAGGTTCCTGAAAATAACTTATGCATTTAGTTTTCAGAACTACCCGATACTCTCATGATTCTTGAATTTGTTTATATACAAAAATAGTTAGTTGTATAAATATACAACCAACCAATTTATAGTATCGAGTTTTTGGAATGAATAACTGAGAAATTCAGGCAATAAGGAAATAATCACAAACGTCTTATTATTAAAAATACTATAAATTCGTTAAATTTTAGTACCTATACTTAAGCAGGCATTTCATGAAACAAAATAAGCATTTAGAGCCGGAATAAATACTTCCCTTGATGATTTTACAATCCTATAATGGTAGTTGCCAGATGACATATTTACGATGTTTACATCCCTACATACAGGGAACCATATAGCGGATATTTAAATTTCATTGAAGCTTCTTCATCATATCTACCTAATTTTATAATAACAAAATATCGACCTCAAAGGACCTGACTAAATTATCAGAAAAACTTGTTTATCATAAGTATACAGAGAATCTTGAAGTTTGCAAGATGTTGGTTCTCCTGGGGGTCCTCAAAAAATTTGGGTCCATATAAATTTCGGCTCTTATGCGATTTGTATCATGAAGTTAAGGCAAAAGATGGCGCTATACCATGAACTTATTCAAACAACATTTTCCATTATTGGAGTGTATGTTAATTAATTAAAAAGTAGGTATCATTTTTTACATTCCATAAACTCTGGTATTATTACACAATGAGCTCGATACAATACTGCCATATTATTATCTAAATTTCATTATAAGTTCCTGCTATAGTGTCATTGCTTTTTGCATGAAATTTTTATTACACGTTACAATTTTCAATCGAATTCGCATAAGGTGTCGAGAAAGCAGATATAGTATCTGACACGAGTGTAAGTCAATACTTTATGTGACTTCGGTAACATAATTGTAACGTCATGAGAGCAACCAATCAGAGTAAAATAGTAAAATATGTTTTGTCGTTCCCCAAAAACAGATAGCAAATACTTGGTGCTGCCTTCTGGTGAGTTACACATTCGTGATGTGGGGCCTGAAGACGGTTACAAGTCCTACCAGTGTCGGACAAAACATCGGCTCACAGGGGAAACGCGTCTGAGTGCCACCAAGGGACGATTAGTCATTACGGGTAAGTGATTTTTTCTCAACCTCATTTTGTATACGATTTTTCTTGTTGTGCTGATTTTGAATAACCATTTGGCTACAGTAAGCTGACAGAACTTTTATTTGCGTTTATGCAAGACAAGACTGTTATGAAGTCCTATAATATGTACTGTCAAAAAGAAAAACAAAAATTTAAAGTGATCAGCTGTGCTTCAAATATTCAGCATGTTGAAGTATGTAATTTGTCACAGATATTCGTAGAATCTGCATTTTTTTCATTAATCCGATTCTATTTTATTACAATCTATCCTAGTGAAAACATTCGAATAATACTTAGTTCTGCAATAATGTTGAAATATAATATTTTAAATCAATTTAAAATCAGCACATCAGGACTTCCTCATTGAATGAAAGCATTATTTCTAAACCCCCAATAAAAATGCAATGCTTTATAGTTTTTCAAGTTGGCGATATTACATACGAGTACGGCTCTAATACCTATTCGAAAAGATCATGGCTTAGATTTGTAGCTGTTCGGAGCGAGCTTCTGAATTTTGCTATAGTACATTATGTATATTCAACTCCTATCTTGTGTTTTTTAACCGAAATTTCTAATTTATTTACATTAATAATAATTTTCAAAGGAAAAATCACTTGGGTCTTGGGTGTTTACAAAAAATGCTTTGTTCATTTAATTTTTTTAAAACAACGACGATAGCGGCAGCTACAAGTATGACATAATTATGATTATGCTTAGAAAAATAATTGTTTCTAATTGATTCAATTGAAGCCTGATACGATAAAACAAATTTTTTTTTTCTTCATTTAGCACCTACCTCGGGTCCTGGAATTTGTTATAAATAAGTTGGCTGCCGCTACTGACGTTTCGGTACCTATCAAGCTACCTTTTGAGAAAATAATAAGATTTTAAATTTCATTCAAAAAGTGGTCTAATGGTATGAAAGGCTCCCATTTCTAACTGCTAGAAATGGAAATCTTAAATTGTTTTTGTACAGGTATAGAAAAGCCTTATCTGCTATCGTGGCCTCACAAATGAAAATCTGTCTTCTACTGCATAGCCAGTATAGCTGACGTATTTGGATTTCCTTTTTATTTAATTCTAACATTAGCCTCGTTTCACATGGATTAGTAGATGATATTTTTCTATTCCTGTAGGTATAATGGTTATGGTGAAATATCCTGAGTTGATATTTTACCAAAGCTGTTGTTTAAGAATTATTTACCTGAATGTTGGGATAGGGTACCCTTGCTTCATTCGGGCACTAATAATTATGAAATTGTATCTGCTACATATTTGGAATTTATACGATATAATACTAATTTGCCGACGTATCACTTTCCTTTCCTAAATTCGTATGTCCCTAATAGCTCATTTTCTTGGTCCTGAACTTCTCTTTGTTATTGTTTTGTTTGTTGGGTACCCTTGCCTATTATTACTCACCAAAATTTTGGGTCATCTTCAAAGGTAAGTCTGGATGATTAGACTGATTGATTTGTTGTTTTTCGAATTCCTTCCAGAACCAGTAGGAAGCGTTGCCCCGAGATTTCCTTTGGAAACTAGAAAAGAATATGTTTATTCGCAAGGTGGCACGTTAAATCTACTCTGTTCAGCACAAGGATTTCCGGTTGTTAAGACAAGGTACATGTTTTGAATCAATCATCCAAGGAATAATATCTATTTTTTTTTTTTTTTGTTTTTGAAAGATTTTTTCCTGTCTTTGCCATTATGATTTTTTTTACGTTTTTAAGTGGAAAAAAAATAAAAATTTAATTCCATATACTTTTGGTATGAATCGGCTCAAACAAATGTCACTTTGATAGTTTCATTCAACGGAAAGCGAATTACAGCTGATTCTGAGGATTCCTTGATGATTCTTGATATCAACATTTTATCAACTTCCAAGTGTCGCAAGATGTATTGAACATCATCTTGAGACTTTAATTTATAATATCCTGAACTTTTCTGTTTAAATTATTGGCAAGTTTTTTCTCTTCTCTACCCAGAAACTGAAATATCTATACGCAGTGTTTTTCATGTTGGGGTTTCCTTCTAAGATGACATAGAACTTGAAAAAATGGAAGAATTTTTCAAATAATAATTTCTCGAAAACTCAAAAAAATAAAGGAGATAGTAATTTTAAATAATATCTAAAATCAAATAAGTCAAGCAAAAACTTTATTTAATACAAAAAAAGGTAATATTCCAACAAAAATTGTAGAAAATCTAAAAGATAAATGGACATCCAAACCTCGATTCAAACACCTTATTTAAAAAAATCAAATAAAGTCCCTGTGCAAAAATTTTATTTATTACAAAAAATGGTATCAGGTACTGAGTAGTGAGTAGTTCTGAAATTTTTTCAATACCTAGTTGGTAATCTAGTTTCTAGGGAAGTTTCGGGTGTTAAATACCAACCCCACCTCCTAAAACATTAATTTTAGGAGCTTAATATAAACCCTGTATGTCACAAACCACAGATTCAAGTAGTTTGAAGTTTTCCACAGTCCCTGAAAACGTAGCAGCTTATTATATGTGAGGTTTTTTTCAACAACATTGGATAGAATTGAGGTGGAAAACTATGGGTCTCAAATAACTTTGAAGCATTTATCTATTAAACTTTTAAAAATTAGGTTGCTAAAAAAGTTGAAGGGTTAAAAAAAAACGTTTATTTATACAATATCTCAATCAACTTATCTTTGGAAAAAATTATTGCCCATAGAACCAGTAGCTAGTGTTCTACCGAAATTCCCTACCATGGACGATTCCAGAAGTTTCAAAGGATCACGACAACAAAGTATCACTCTCTTGTGTCCTGCGCAAGCTTTCCCTCCGCCCACATACAGGTAAACAATTTACTTTACAGTAGTCCTCTTCTGTGAATTAAATGAGAGCGTCCTGAGCAAAATTGCACAATAATTATTACAAAATGAGTGTCTCTTACTTTTTCCCTACAACTACAAATTCTACTTTAAAATATCGCAGACCTGATAGATATTCAAGAAAATAGCAAAAGTTTGCTTTTTGCTTTGGAAGCTCTTATTCTTATTGATTGTATGTGTTGTAATTTAGAACCAATCGCGAGCGTGTTACCAAAGTTCTCAACATTAGCCGAGTCGCAAACCTTTAAGGGCCAAGAGGGCGCTAGTTTGACTCTTCTATGTCCTGCGCAAGCTTTTCCTGTCCCAACTTATAGGTAATCGATTATTATTTCCTCAAATAGTATTGTGATTGGCAGGGCTGGGCAGTTAAGTACCTACGCGAGTAATTTTTACTCATATTAGTCATATTCGTATTTGAATAAGCAAAGTAGTCATCAATTCGTATTTTTTTTTTTAAATGAGCCGCCAATACCAACACTTTGTGGTAGGTACTTCTACTCTTCTCAGTACACTGGGAATACATTAATTGTTTGACAAATATGAACCCAACCATTTGGGCCACAAAATCCATCACGCGTGCCAGCGGGCACATCAAAAATGAAACTATGGACTCGTATTCTTCATAGCACGCTTACGTCAGTTTTTTCTGCCTCGCTGAGGCGTAGGTACCCAGTTCCCAATAATTACAGGTACCAGTTAAAATTCACTTTAAATTGTATGAAAAATTCTAGAGCCAATCAGTAGTGCCTTACCGAAAGTCTCCTCGAAATCCAAATACGACGTCATTGAATATACAGAAAAATCCACCTTGTCCCTGTTATGTCCCGCCCAAGGTTTTCCTGCTCCCACTTTCAGGTAGGTAAAGTAAATTTGATCATTATTTTTTATTAATTTATCCTCAATTTAATACCTTAGGTCTGAACAATTTGCAGAAACAAAAATAGCCGCATACATCTAACACGGAGTTTCTCTAATTTAATACAGCATCAAATTGCGCAACTTGGCCACAATTTAACTGATCCCCTATGTGTAACGATTTCCGAGATCTCAATGATGATCTCGCGAATTTCGTCCACCTTGTACAATTACCTCAAATACTTGTCAGTTAAGGGTTCCCTATACCAATCAAATTTTAGGTACCAACATAATTTAAACTATCTTCTTCCTGTTTAGAACCAATCAGTTCTCGCGCTCCCACCCTTTCTTCAGACATTCGGAGCATCACAATAGAAAAACACTATGGCCATGGGGTGAATCTGTTGTGCCAGGCCCAAGGGTTCCCTACCCCAACCTTCAGGTACTATCCGATTTTTCTATTTGCACAATTTTGTCTCGCTTTCTTCAGAACCTGTAGGAACTCGGGCACCAAAACTAACTCAAGCAGACTCGAATTTCAAGGTGGCCCAACGCGAAGCTGGTCTGGTGATTCCAATTTTTTGTCAGGCTCAAGGATTTCCAGTTCCATCGTTCAGGTAGAACATTACCTAATGAAATGTATGAAAACTCGTGTGAATACTTAAAGCAAAATCAGCCCAAAGTAAACTGTACGTGCCTGTTTTTGTTTTTGCAAAATTGTTGACTTTAAGGAAGCAATTTGGGATAAATCAGTGAAGTTAGAAAAATTGCTCGTCTATTGGTTAAACCATTGATTCTATGAGTAGGTACTGATATAATAACTTGGGCATTTGAGTATAAATACAAGTACAATAGTTTACCTGATTACTGCGCCCTTCTAACCGATTATTGCATGTTCATTTAAATGTAGAGCCTGTTGGAAGTAGATCTCCAAAATTGACTCAGATTGATTCGAGATTGAAATCTGTGGAGCGAGAGGGTGGACTACAAATTTCGCTTCTTTGCCAAGCACAAGGGTTTCCGGTGCCGCTGTTCAGGTAACTTTCTTTGTGTTAAAATATGCGATTTTTTTTTAAGAAAACTTGAAATCAACGGATAATGTCAATATATAAATAACTTTAGAAAAACAGTGCATTTCTTATTATTAAATGTTAAACGGAATGTGGCTTCAACCGTTTAATTTTCAAAACGCTATCTGTTTTGTCCCAAAATAGGGAACCACTTCCCATTGTTCTCACGACTGAAATTCAAATTATTTATTGACGTTAATGCACAGTGTGCTTACACAAGTCAGTAATAAAATAAACTCATAGCAAATAAGGTGGTATGGTCCTGTTTAAAAAGACAAAAGCAAATATAATACAATAATGCAAATACAAAAACAGTTACCCAAATACATTTTAAAATTGGGTAATATCACAATTAAAATTCAAAACCTCAGAAATGCCAACAAATGCTCGACTGATGTTTTAATCTTTGGTCTTTTTGTTTTGGTTTTTTTTCATAACTATAAACTTCTAACAGCAGTAGGTATCTAGTTTATTGAAAAGGTGAGTGCCAAGTCTGCCTGGTCCATGCCAACCCCTTTGTAGCCGTTTATAGGAGGGCACCAAAAGTTTTTCGTCAATTGACTAGTTTGTTCCAATCCTCATACTAACTCAATTAATATTACCTTGCAGTTTTCGGGACTTAAACCTCAACCAAATTACATACCATGCACCTACAAACTTTCCTGTCACTGTCACGTCAGAGTAAAACTCAGTTTAATAACTATTTCTTATTACGTTGACAGAAAAATAAACATATCAAAGGTGTGAACGCCGGAAGAAAAAATATTTCTCCTAACATGTACCTTATAGCTTATCCGTGTAACTGCTTTTGCGTGCGGGAAAGTATCACTTTGTGCACTTGTTAGGAAAATAACTACATATTTTTTAATCCAAACAGTGCGTTTTTCCATTGGCCATCGCTTATAGTATAGGTAGCAATTGACAATAAATGAAATAGTGTCAATGTTTATGGCTTCAGAAGGTTTTTCTATTCCTTTGTATATCATTGATAAATTCATCCACCCCTGACATCCTACTGGTTCTTCAATCGTTTTTAGTAAAAATAGTTTCAGCCATATTTTTTTCTTTCTTTTAGAACCAGTTGGCTTGAAAAAGCCAACCTTTTCGAACGATCTCAAATTAATGGGCTATGACCGCAGTCAAAATCAAAGCTTCGCCATGCTGTGTCCCGCACAAGGCTTCCCTTTTCCTAAATTCAGGTAATGAATAAATTAATAAAGTTGAGGGAATTTTTAGACAATTGCCAAAATAAATTTATTCTTATATGTTCAATGTTTCTTTGCTAACGAATTCTCACATTTAAACTTGCAATTTTGAATGGAGCTCGAAATGTTGTCAAAATTTAGAATTTCGATGCGGAGTTCTTGTAAAAATGGCCAAATTTTGTATAAATATTTTTCATTGAGTTTGTTTTTTGTAAGTAGATTACATCGGATAAAAATAGCAAAAACTGCGCTATTATTTCGATTTTCATTAAAAGTAAATCAAAATTAGACTTAGCCATTTCACTTAGCCCAACATTCAGGTAGTGATTGCGTTATTCAGATTCTAACTTTAAAGCCCTATATTTTTTTGACGACTTTCTAAATAATTCAGATTTATGGTTAGTACAGAATTCGGGGACTTTCGAAAGATAATATTTTTTTTTTTTTTTTTTCGATTTATATATTGCAGTGTGCTTTCAAAATGCTTTGTGAGCAAAATTCAAAACAAAAATATTTTTCAAAATCGTGGTAGATCATCGAAAAGCCCATCAAATTCTTCACAAACTTCACTAAAAGTTGTCTTGAATAAGTTGAAGGACTGCAAGGATAGTTCTGAAATAACCGAGTTATTCATTTACCTAATGAAAAATACAATAACCTTCAAACTATAGAACCAGTTGGATCAAGAGCTCCTTCATTTTCCACCGAATCAAAAATTTTTACCATGGACCGTCCTTTAAGAATAAATTTTGCCTTATTGTGTCCTGCGCAAGGGTTTCCCAGACCATATTTCAAGTGAGTAGGTACTTAGAACTTCCTATTATTATTATTTTTTATTAACTTATTAGAACCAGTGGGTTCAAGAGCACCTTCATTTTCCACCGAATCTGAAGTGTTTACCATGAAAAGGCCTATTAATACTAATTTGGCGTTATTGTGTCCAGCACAAGGATTTCCTAGTCCCAATTTCAAGTAAGTAATACAAGCTCAACAACCATCGTTATTTGTCTTTATATGTTATTTTTGAAATTTCCTTAAATGTTTCACTTTTTGTCCGTTGGCAAAATTTTAACAATCACTCATGGAAGGATTTTCTATTGAATAATCCACTACTCAAAAACCAACGAAAACTCTCTGGGGCAATATTAGCGGCGTTTACACGGGCGTTCCATTATTTCTTCGGTTTTGGCGTCTCACGGCGTTGCGCACGATTGAAGCAGACGAAAGGATACTCCAATTACAGACGATTTTGATAAAAAAAATAAGAAAATTTGAGAAAAATAATTATTTGCGAATGGATAATCCAACCTTTCTGTATATGGTGTGTCACTTTGAGGAAAAAATCCACGGAACACATCAATTATAATTTGGAGTGGTGTTCTTTCCGTGATTTCGAGCTTCGTCTTCTTGTCGTTCTTCCCGTTTCCAATCTCCGTTTTTCTTTCTGTTTTTGGTATTCTCGTTGTTGTGAAAGTGCTGCGAGTCGATCCTGCTATTCTTGATTTTCTCTCTGCCTTCAGGCTTCGTTTTCGTGTCTTTCATCCTTTTTCCAATCTTCCTCTTCTTATTGCTGTTAAAATTTTCAGAAAACCTTAACAATACATTATTTTGTACACAAGTTTAATTTGTCTTTTATCGTGCTGGAAGGCCAAAAATGTTTTTGTTTATTATAGAGGACAATAGAGCCGCGAGACTGTACGCGCGTTGGCACCATTAGTGAAATTTATTAGCACTCAAGCCATGCAAAGACCAATACATATACATATTAGTCTGTCCAACGCTATCGTAGTGCTACGTTATGTCATCTTTTCTTAGTTACATAATATATCCTAAATTGGAACCTTATTGAAAAATCTGATTTGACTTTTTTACATCGACTAACATATGAACAGAGATGAGTCTATCTAAGATGTAGCGATTATTTTTCATGACGTCAGTAATGATGACGTAACAATGCGATAGCGTTGGACAGACTTTACAAATATATATATTGGTACCTACCTGGAATTCGGCTGCCTATATCAGGCCAGGACTGCTCAGGAGCTCCTCAATGTGCGAGAAGTGTCACATGTGTAACATCCTATATTCGAATGTGATGCTATTTGAAACAAGGAACAAGGGTACCCATTATTCTTACCTTTCAATGCCATAATATTTTTGTTCATTTTTCTCTTTTGCATAGAACCGGTAGGTTCTAGGGCTCCAGCTTTTTCAACCGAATCCCAAATATTTTCCATGAAGTTGCGTTATCCTTTGGGTAATAACATAGCTCTCCTGTGTCCGGCTCAAGGATTTCCTAGTCCTAATTTCAGGTAGGTACTAACTAAATTTTCTCAATACTTAATACTTGTAAAGAAAATAAAATGGAAATGTTTTTTTTGGAAGCGTTCGTTGTAATCACGATCAGAAACTTTTTTAATATCAAAAATTCATCTTATTTGGGATCAACCAATCTCCTGGTTTATCTAGTCTCCACCTTAAAAATCCATACCGTGAGCATAAAATTTTTATAACTGAAGCCGCTGGTTTTCAGATGTCTGGTCACAGTAAGGTCCTAGTGTAGTAATACATTTTTATTCTACGTTATAAGCTGAATCACTGCAGAATTTTTTAACTTAGGGTTTAGTTGTGCAATTGGTAGTTTTCTGTTGACCCGTTATGTTTATTGCCGCTTAAACTTTACCACATTCACCCCAGCATTCATAATTACTTATACTCTATTTTTTTGAAAGCTGATATAATCAATCATACTCAACCAATTTTAATCCCCTAAATCCTTTGAAGAGTGAATGAACCACCTGCAATAAACGATGAGGTGACAGTTTGATTATACCAGCTTCCAAAAAAATAGACTATAACTTCCAAGAGTCGCTCTAAGCCTTGCTCTCATCTTACACGTGTCAAGGTGAATGTTTCCATTCCATTCCATCCTAGCATTGTTAGTGAAAGAATATAGAGCGGTCGTTAAATCAGTATGAATTTCAAATATTTAGTATTATTATAAACTGATATTCTTCACGTAAGTAAAGTCCGTCGATTTTAATCTGATACTCCAAAGGAATGTGAGCTGGTGGCTTCTTACATTAGAATGCCAATGGTTACCTGACGGTACACCTGTTTTTGCCATATAAAACACCCCCTCGCTCCTCATACCGAAAGTGTCAGATTGAAAACAACGGACAATACTGTCCAACTAGTTTATTTATTTAAAAAAAAAGCAATAATTATTATCCTACAAATGAAGCAAGTGTTTTTTTGAATGGCATTTTTGGTACCAACAATGTTTTTATTTAGAACCGCTAGGCTCCAGAGCACCATCGTTTTCTTTTGAAGCGCAAATCAACATTATGAAACGTCCCATGCATTCGACATTGGCCTTATTGTGTCCCGCTCAGGCATTTCCTAAGCCAAATTTTAAGTAAGTTGAGCAGAATGGTTTTTTCCGAGTGCTCTTGAACGTGATAATGCTTTTTTTTCTGAATTGTTCGTCTGTCGGGATCATTCTTCCGATTTTAACCACCCAAGAAATTGTTGGAAATATATGATAAGTCAGTTGAGCAGGACAGTTATTCAATTTTCAAGTACTTATTACAATAACAAAAAGTGAGTCGCCGTTTGAAGCAAGCAAGGCACTACCCAAACTCAGTGTGAATGCTCAAGCTGTTTTTTATTTAGAGCCAGTGGGTTCGAGGGCGCCTTCTTTTTCATTTGAATCGCAGATGTTTTACATGAAACGTCCCGTTAGTTCGACGCTGGCTTTGCTGTGTCCAGCCCAGGCGTTTCCAAAACCAAATTTCAAGTAAGTAATGGAGATTGATAACAATAAATACTGTCACGGATTCCGGGTCTACTTAAACTCACTTCACAAACAAACATTAACAACTTTTATTGTAAAAAATTGACTTTATAGCAATTCACTTTTCACTTAAGTACGCAACGTATGTACAAATTAAATCTTGTTTTTGAACTGACTCCCAAATTACTACTTCGCGCTATAGAAAACATCGCAATCCAGAATAGCTCGTGAACAACTAGGCTCGCACCTCGCAAAATCCTGTCCGGGTTGTCGTTGCAATTTGGTACCAATATAATAACCACACAAATAAAAATAAAACTAGATCTGAGGCCTCATGAATTTGAGTTAAATAATATTTCCTATACAGGGTGCAAAAAACATAGTGTACCGGACTTCGAGGGATGATACTACATATGCAAATTTTAAAAAAAGTTCCTATAAACATAACTGCCCCAAGATGCTTCCTGAAGAAGTTACAGCCCTTTAAACGTTAGATGAAAATAATAGATTTAGTTTTTTTTCAACAACAATGGCAAACCATTTTCCTTGAAATTTGGTATTCTCGCATACATGTCGATGCCAAAGCAAATGGCGATCGTAAAAAAGCTGTCAGTTCTGGAAGGGTTACACTATTTTTTTAACACTTTGTATAGTTTAATGCATGGCTTACAACTAGTTCATTTATACGCAATTGCTCAATTATAGTATTTCCCAACATCAAAAAATTTATCAAAAACGAAAACGGCTTTTCAAGAATCGAATTTTTCTACAATTCAAAAATAATTGTTGATATAATGACCAATCGGATTAATTTATGCTTAGGAAAAATCTTAAAACTATTTTGGGTTACAATTCTGCCACAGAAGCAGGTAAACTGAATTTCCAAAAACTAAACTTTTTAGAGAATTACGATTCAAAAATTGTTTCTAAGCCCTCAATACCGCTCAAATATCAAATCACATGCTTGCGAATACTATTTTTTGAAGAAACTCCTCAAGACTCGTTTTTTGTTGCATCACAAACTGCAAACTTGAGAATTAGAACCTCACAAAAGCTAGGGATTTAGACTGATGGAAACTGCTTTTTGATTTTTCAAAATTCAACTTATTTTTTTCAGTTTTTCAGCTTACTTACTTACAGAAGTTTTATATTTCATCTCATTAAGTAGATTTGATGACTAAGAGGAATTGCCCTATCCCAACAATCTTATAGACGTTATTTATTTATTTTCTTGACACTTTTTTTTTGAACAGAACCCATCGGTTCCAAAGCTCCAACATTTGCCATCGAATCTAAGGGCTTCATCAGAGTGTTTGATAAAGAAATTGGAAAAAGTTTTGCTTTGCTGTGTCCTGCACAAGGTTATCCTTCACCAGTTTTCAGGTACAGATAGGGATTCATATTTAGGTAGGGAATGTGAAAGGTTTGCACTGAAATTTATGGCCAGAATTAGATAATTGCCCAGGCAAGGGGTACCCCATTCCATGTCATTGAATGCATGAAAATAATTGACAACTGCATTTTTATTTTTTATTTAAGAACCTACGGGGAAAATCGCACCCAAAATACCAGGCCAAAAGTATGAAGGAGGCAAAATTTATTTGGCTCCTGTTACCAAAAGTTTGGTTATGACTTGCGATGTTGTTGGTTATCCTGTGCCAGTATTTAGGTAGGAATACTGAATTTAATTGAAAATACCAGAAACTGACTAGATCAATATAAACAAAAATAAATATCTTGGAAACCTTTTCAAATGTTTGATTTTAGACTTTCATGCACTTGAATAAAACTGTCTAGAAAACTTACTCAAAAGCTCAGGCAATTCACATTACCACCTATTAGACTAGACCTAAACCAAAATCTACCTTTTCTATGTTTATACATATAGGTATGTATTATTTTCCGTTTTGCTACATGTATCTGTTAGAAATAGGTATTTCTATTACTGTCTGAGTAGTTAGGGGTTCATATTTATCTTGGGAGAGCTGTGCAAGAATTTATCCCATCTACTAGTAATTTCAGTTGCTTCCACGTTTTAATATTGTTATCATCTTGACTAATTTTTTTTTTCTCACTCTGCACTGAATACAAGCTGATCACGTCGTTATTCGATTTGCTGGATAGGTCAGTATTTCGGTTTTATGTCTTCAATGTCCCCTTCGATATCTTCGTTTTTATGATCATATTTTCAGTGTACCAGTGAAGCAGTACGGGGCAAACACAAGCCACTCTATCATTATCTCGATTGTGCATTCGTGGCGTGTCTAACTTAGCCGGTCTATTTAAAAATCTTAAGTATTCGAATAATCCTGACAATATGGTAATGATAACGTTATCCCAACATTCTGTTTTTATAAATTTAAATGCCCAATGATTTATAACTAACATAGAGGCTATTCTATTCTTTTGTTTAGAACCTACTAATAACGTGGCCCCCAAGAAAGTCGGGTCCGAATTTGGCGGATGGAGGGTACTGGGTATTCCTATAAACAACACTGCTTGGCTTACTTGCCAAGTCAGCGGGTTTCCTGTTCCTAGATTTTTGTAAGTGACTGCATAATAGGTACATCACTATAAAAAAGAGGATGAAAATACATTTTTGTAATTCTACCAATTATGGTAAACTTTAGAATAAATTAATCGACATAATAATTGATATACCCTATCCCAGTCTCTTCCTAAGAATTATTAATTCTATCATTATACATGGTTGTTTGCTATTCATTATAGAACCTACAAATAATGTCCCTCCGAATAAAGACGGTGAAAAATTCGAGGGCTGGAAGCTGGTATTAGTCTCAAAGAACGAGGTGGCTTGGATTATGTGCCAAGTTACTGGATACCCTGTTCCTAAATTTTTGTAAGTTTATAACTTTAGATTTTCATTTTAGGACTTTGTTTCATTACAAATTTTTTGACTGTATTTTGGAACAGAATAGTGAGTAAATAGTTGCTAAAAAAATTAGTACCTACTACCCAATGGTTGTTTTCCATATAATGTCTAATTTTGGTTGAAACATACATAGGTATTTAATATGTACAATCCTTGCATGAACACCTGGCTTTTTAGAGGTGAGTAGCTCGGAGCGTTTGGATTACCAATTTTGGGGTTAAACTACTAAAAATAAATAAGTGTATGGTAGTGTCTCCATTTTCAGCTTGGTCGAACCGTAATTCATTTCTTGCTGAAAGAATGATTTTTAAATTATTTTTTTTTCTATAATATTTAAAAATCAATCTTTTGTGGAAAAAGTGTAAGAAAATAGAAATAACTTTTTTGTATAAGACTTACATTTTTTCTTTTTCTATAAAAAGTGTTACATAATTTAGTATAGGCACATAGGTACAGATACTATTATGTATAGGTGCAAAATGAATTTCATTAATCAAGAAAATAAAAACAATTATTTAACTGAAAACAAAACTATGTTCAATGCATTGTCACATCATATCATTCATATGTACCTATATTCTGTTCTATTCTATTTGGTCCTATCTATTAAGTCTAATAATATATAGATCAGAATTAATGTTTATGCGTAATATACTCAAATTGGTAACACTTTGTCTATCAATATCTTTCTACTTGCTTTCAGCGAAAAAAGTTTTCAGTACAAAAGTTATTTGATTGATAATTTAAAAATTTGACATTGACGTTTCTTTATTAAAAATAATAAAATGCTGCCACGATTTGAGAAGCAGCCTTTTAACAATTTGTTTTAAACGAAACAACTTTTGTATTGCCCTACCTTTTACTTCTACCCAATATGTTCTATTTTTAAATAAATTAAATCCTTAATTTTTTTCCAATTGGTTCTCGTGTTTCAGAACCAACCAATAATTTACCTCCAAAAATCGTCGGGGAGCCGACCCCATGGAGAATAGCCACTTTCTTTCTACATTGCGATGGTGTGATACTATGCCCCGTTGTTGGTTATCCAAACCCTGTTTTTAAGTAAGTTTCTTCTCTCGCTTGCTTTTTATAATTAGTTGCTTACCGCTTAGCTTATTTGCTGGCTTTATATCGAAATTTAATTATAACATGTAGATTTTTATTTTCGATATTTTTCATAAATCTAGAAATTTTTCCAAAATACAAATAGTTCATTAAACTAAATACTTTGGTCCACAATCAATTGTTAACATTGTAGCCAAAGGTGAAAAACTCATTTATATCACAGGACTTATTTGTGCCTTAAACCGTAATTGAATAAAATCATCTACAATTTTTTCATTTACACCGTCGATGTTTAAAAGGCGAGGAGAAAATTTAGTCCGTTTCCTTTTGCCGTGCAAAATCCTTTAATAAAACTCATAGTTTGATGATTTAATTTATTTCATTTTCGATTCTTCCTCTTCTTCTTCTTTAGCCATTATCAACCATTTTTGGATAGGAATATAATAGGCCTCTCTTCCCAGCGAATTATATTTTAAGTCACTTGTCTCCAGTGTAATCAAGCAGTGAGTTTGAGGTCGTCGATGCATTGCATCTGTGGTCTGCCCCTTGATCTGTGCCCAGCATGGTCCCAAAAAGTTCTGTTTTGCTGAACTCTGTCCTGCTAAACTCCATTTCAGATGGGTGCTACGTCCTCGAACCTGGTTCTCACTTATCCTTGGCTCCGCACTCTACCCTCCTTGACAATGCCATGCCTAAATCGAAAATGTATATAATATGCGTGGTATGCCATTAAGGCAGTGTCATTGTTTATGTTGATGGTAAGCAATTTTAATGCATAAGTACTCTGCAGTTTCGTTTGCTAACTGATCAGTATCTTCTCACCAATCAAGTCTGTGATGTTTTTGAGTATAGTGGCTTCCGTTTAGAATTCATAATCCAAAAATTCTTTAGGTTTGAAATAATTCGATTCCAATGGCTGAAAAATTTGTATCATAATGAAGTTCATTATGAAACAGATTTTAATGTTTTAATTTGGTAGTGTATTATAGAATAGGAGTGGTTTTTTTTTCTAGTCCTTAGGAAGATAATGGATCACACAGTGTTGACGATAATAATTCGAATTATAGGCCGCTTGAAGATAGATCAATTTATATCAACATCCCCTGTTAAATAAAAATGTTGCAGTTTCGTAATTATATTCGTTCAGAGCCCAAGTAACTTAATATCTCAACTTACTCAACTATTCAATTATAATAAGTAACCAAAAGTGTAAAACCACAAAAAAAAATGTGGCTACAAAATCTTCTAGAAAAAGAATTCTAGAAATGAAAACAATATTTTAAACTAAACCCTAGAGATTCAGAATGATTATGGGAATTCCAATATGAGCTTGAGGACTTTTGGTGTACAGCTTCTACAATAATAATAATAATAATAATTGAGAACAAAAACGTATTTTTTTTTGCTAGTATCCCAACATTCAAGTACTCATCAATAGGTAGGTGTCAAATTGCTTGTTGCTTCATTATTTGAAAAATAATATTTCATGTAGAACCTACAAACAATGTGGCTCCAAAATCTTCTGGAAAAAAATACCTTGGACTATCCCAAGAGGCTGCCTCAGGAAATGATTTCATAATCAGTTGCGACCTTACTGCTTATCCAGTTCCAAAATTTAGGTAATTTCTATATCTACATCGAATAATGAGACCAAATAACGACCGAATGAAAATATTAGCCTAGGAATTGAAAAAAAAAGGAGAATGCTTAATACGCGCTCTTTGTTAGGTACTTGGAAAATCAGAGTTGCTTAAGGCCATGGTTTACACCACACATTCCTTTGTACTTTCTTTATTTTATAGTAGGTATCTTTATCCTTGGATCCGGCCGTAAAATCGATGGCAGCATAGTTTTGGAAAAAGTTGAATGACAAAAAGATCTGGTCATTCCTTGTGAAGTCACTGCCTACCCTGTCCGTAAATTTAGGTAAGTGGTGCTGAGTAGTTTAAAAAACCAGAGCCGGTCGAAGATGAATGAGAATTCTTATGACAAAATTATGGGTGCATATTATGTAAGGTAAGTTCCCTTATCCGATTATCCCTGTTTGATTTTTATTGGAGTGTTAACGTTGTTGGAATACTTTAAATATTTCAATCCTCCTCCTTGCTTCTAATACCTTTGCTTACCTAACTTTAGAGCGTTGTAATCTTCTTGGACTTTGATTTGCGAGAGTCGCATCACACCTTTCCTTTTCGGAAACATCCTATACCCTGTCACACCCGATGCATAATACATAGTATATTAGAAAGAAGTAAGATTTGTTGCAAACTTTGAAAATTTCGTAGTTTCCGTTTCATAAAATTCCATGGCTTATAAAGTCCCATACAACAAACGAGGTGTATCTCTCATAATGAAGCAGCCAATCCACCAAGAAAATTCACCCTATTAGAGCATATTATGAGAGTCTGCTTCTTTATAGAACCAACGGGATCGGTTGGACCTCGTTTGCATTCCAAAACCATCGAAATCCAGGATAAAGCTGCAGGGGAAACGGCAGTGGCTCTTTGCCCTGCACAGGCTTATCCAGTGCCAAAGTTTAGGTAATATTTGATTTTTTATTTGGAAGGATCTCATTTTTTAACATCCTTGTACTTATTCTATTTGGTTGGCCGTTACTTGATGAAAATTCATTATACTTTATGAAAGGTCTTTATTATATTTTCGCAGATTATTTTATTATCACAACATAATATTTCGATACACCGTGTCTTCCTAGTTCCTCAGTGGTAGATACTCCACATCTACCTCGAAAATAAGTTGAGATAATAACATAATTTGTGAAAATTTACTTATGTCCGTCCTTTCATAAAGTATGCTTATACTTTTCGTTAAGTAGTCTAGAAACTATTTCAAATTGATATGGTCTATGAAAAAATCCGAAAGAAAATTCCGATTACTTGGAAGTTTCAATATAATATGGATCGTTCACAGCGAACAGGTCACCACGTTCCTTAGCCTTTGCCTTAAACTTTGATGATATATATTTTTGATCCCGAAATAAAAGTGAATTTTGCATATTTTTCTAGCCTGATCAGTAGAAAAAATGTGAATGTCATCTGGCGGCGTAAAGAAAGTAGACATTTGTATTTTAAATTTTCCTCTAGGTACTTTAGGCACGACAAGGTCAAATTGTTATGGATTTAAAAAAAAATATTACATAACACGGGTTATTTATAATAATGATTATAGTGGATTTTCCAACTTCGAATTTTTGCAACTTTTCAATCGCATCTACTAGTGTATAACTGTATGCTCAGAATTTGTAGAGAATTCCAAGGCTTTTTAAATGATTTACTTTGGTATCATTAAGTTTTTTTTTTTAGTTGCAGGCTTGTTTAAAGTTATGCAATAATATCCAATTTATTTATTTATTCAACATTTTCAAAAAAATAAAAATCTGTCAAAAGGCAAAGGAGGGTAATTTTGAATAGGTAACATGAATACCATAACCTTTCAGGGGGGGGGGGGGGGTGCCTAGGATGTGCCCAAAAAGTTGCAGGGGTTCGAACTTGAAATCCAATATACAATCTCGCTACAATTTCTCCCATTTTTTGTTCCAGGTGGTACAAATTTATCGAAGGCACTTCCAGAAAACAAGCGGTGGCTCTAAGCGATCGAGTCAAACAAGTGGCTGGCACTTTAATAATTCGCGAAGCAAAAGTTGAAGACTCTGGCAAGTATTTGTGTGTTGTCAACAATTCCGTGGGCGGCGAAAGTGTGGAAACGGTGCTGACAGTTACTGCACCCCTCAAAGCATCCATTGAGCCGAAAGTCCAAACTGTGGATTTTGGCCGACCAGCTGTATTTACTTGCAAGTTTGAAGGTAGGAACTTTTTTTTTATAATTATTTTCTAGGACTAACATTTCAAGTGAAAATTAAAAATAATTTGGAATTTTAGTTTTGAAATAAAATCATTTATTTCGTGCTATTACACTACACTGGTGTTTACACATGTCAAAAATAGTAGTACATAATCAGTTTAAAAAAATTTCACAAAATAGCTTAAAATTTACACTTTTTCAAATATTATATCATTTACACAATCAAAATACATTTAACAGAATTCAAACATTAAAATATACATTAAGCTACAACACGAAGGTTAGGTTACGACGGTATAAAAATTTTGGAGCACATCATTTTATTTATCACAGTAATAGCAATTTATTTCCTACCCAAACAAGTGTTGGTTTGCTGAATTCTTCTATTGAATAAAATGCAAATTCAATTAGTAAGTCTTCAACTTTCCTCTTAAATTGGATTCTGCTAAGATTTTTTAGCGCTTCTGGAATTTTATTGAAGAAATTTATAGAATGATATCCAGGGCCATTTTGACACCTATGTAAACGGTGGTAAATAGGTTGTAGGTTATTTTTATTTCTTGAGTTATAATCATGGACATCACTATGCCGGACAAATCTGTCATGACTGTCCCTGACATACATCAAGTTCTGCAAGATGTATTCACCTGGCCTGGGAGAGTCAGAACTTTGAGGTCAACAAAAGCTTGTTTACAATCATCTATGTATTTCAATCCTGCTATTATTCTTATGGCTGCCTTTGCAAGGCAAAAACTCTGCGAGAACCGCTTGAGTTACCCCAAATCAATAGTACATAACTTAGGTGTGAATGGAAGATAGAAAAGTAAGCTTGTTTCAGAATTTCAGGAGAAACACACAATAAGAAACTTCTCAGGTCAAATGCATTTTTACTTAGTTTATTGGATGTCATTTCGGTGTGTGCATCCCACAGTAAGTGGACAACTCCGAGAAATTTGACACTGTCCGTCAGAGCTTCAATTTTTTTCAGTGAAAAAACGAAGTTTTGTGCCTTGGCTTCGTTTAGGAAAGCTTTTTTTGCTGAGAACCATTGCTTAACTCTCGACTGTGCCTCCCCCGACATTTCAGTGGAAATCTGTCAGTGTGTTTGGTTTGTGCAGTCGTGTCGTCTGCACAATTGTAGTAGATATCATTCAAAGCAATGTTGGGAAGATCATTTATGTATCTGTATCTGTATCTGTAAGTTTGGGTTAGTATGGTTTGTCACAGCACTTAGGCCACATTAGGCCTATTGTGCGCCTCCACAAGAGGAGAGGTCATCCTTAGCTTGTTATCCAGCCTAGCGATTCCACGTAGACGATGACGTCGTCGAGGTCGGTGCCTCTGATCTCTTCTAGCAATGGATACGATTACGATTGGCCTACTCTGACTCTGCGTATTGGCAAAAGAGCAGTGCAGTCACAGAGAATGTGCTCTATCGTATCGTCTTCTTGATTACAAGCCCTACACAAGGATGTGCTACTGAGATGTAACCTGAACGAATGTTTGTTTAGCTGACAGTGGCCAGTCAAGATGCCCGTTATTCCCGTTTTCCTGGTCAACGACAGCTTTTGGCTTGCTGCAGCTTTATCTCAGTTCCTTGCATAAGTTGTAGCCAATTGTACCGTCCCAGCGCTTTTTGGAAAGGGTTTGGGAGCGTTTTTTTATCATATCTCTTTACAAAATGAAGCTGCTGTAAGTTTCTAATCCGTAAATTGTCTATTCTTCAGTCTTGAGAAAATGCTCCGTGATACACATAATGTTTATGTCCTTATCGCAGGAGAAGGTTTCAAGTTCTTCTGTAGCATTTCGGATTGATTGAGTGTTATAATGTAGTACCCTTAGTTTTGAGCATGCGTGGCCTGTATATGATAATGGGCTTCGTCTGTTGTGGGTAAAATGGTTTATTATGACTCGCTCTCCCCAGATGTCTGGGATCATAATTTTGTGTGTTTCGGTCTCAGAGACTTTGAATGGACTCTTGAAGCTACTGTTTTTTGTCTCCATTTTACATCTTGGTGTCTGTCCGTGTGCCAGTTTTTGTACATTAATTTATACTTCTTCAGTCACAGTAGGTGCAAGCCCTGAAACAAAGAGATACATTTTTTTCTGTGCGACTTGTAGCTGGAAATTTTTGCATCCACCAATAACCGGAGATTGTCTTTTTTTCCCATACGAAACTGTTTTCCAGGAGTCTTCATTTTTATTTTTATCTGACTGGCTGTTTTCTTGTGCTTTTCCCACCATTTGTTCAGAAATATTAAATGGTTTCCCGAGTGATTTCCCGATTTATCGCTTGAGCCTAAGCACCCTCGATCGAAAGAGCACAAAGTTACCTTTCTAATGATATCCTAGTTGTTGCATTTTACTTCGAAAAGTAATTGGAAAAGCGCTAAGAGGCTCAGTCTGGTAATTTTATTATTTTAAAACCAAAAAATAGGTGTTAAGTATTTGCCAAAAAAAAAAAAAACGAATAAAACAAAACTATATACCTATATGGGTATTTTTAGTTTCGAAGTCATTCAATTTTTTTTCAATTTATTACAATAATTATTCTTTGTAAATTTCCTAAGTAGTTTTTTTGTACCCCTTCAATAATATATTTTCTTTAGTTAGTTGATTGATATGGGCTCAAATATTAATATTTTTTCAGGTAACCCCATCAAAACGGTTTCCTGGATGAAAGATGGCAACAAACTAGACCACACAGACGCTGTGCTTCGGATCGAAGCTGTGCGCAAAGAAGACAAAGGCATGTACCAATGTTTTATTCGCAACGATCAAGAAAGCGCAGAAGCAACTGGGGAACTTAAACTTGGAGGGCGTTTCGAACCACCACAAATTCGACACGCATTTAACGAGGAAACCGTACAACCTGGAAACAGTGTATTTCTTAAATGTATTGCCAGCGGTAATCCAACACCGGAAATCTCTTGGGAACTGTATGGCCGGCGCCTGTCAAACAGTGACCGTTATCAGATTGGCCAATATGTCACTGTTAATGGTGACGTTGTGTCACATTTGAATGTCACAGGAATTCACACAAATGATGGCGGTTGGTATCGGTGTATCGCAAGTTCCAAGGTTGGCAGTGCCGATCATTCAGCCCGAATTAACGTCTATGGATTGCCGTTTGTACGATCTATGGAGAAACAGGCCATTGTTGCTGGTGGCACCCTGATTGTTCACTGTCCATTTGCTGGCCATCCAATTGATACTGTTGTATGGGAAAGAGGTAAGTGCGCCGAATGCACTTTTGGAAAATAAATCTTACTTATGTCGGGAGTTCCATTGAGTTGCAAAAAAACGTATTCATTGGTTGCTTAACATACTGATGGCTTACATATCTTTCCGGATGGTTTGCATTGAAAATACATGCAAAGATTCGCTGACATAGCCTCCCAAAATCACTAAACTTTATAATATAATTATTGATTGTCATTCAAAATTAGATGCCCTAGAAAATAAAACCGGATTGCATACTAGATCTGGAACAGTTTTCGAGATATGTATTAGGTAAAAAAATCTGAACTTTGTTTCACCTTTCGAAAATGCTTCAAAGACCAACAAAAACGTGTATTATCCGTAATTTTCATTGAATAAGTCGTTCAATAGTTTTTTACGCTGGCGAATCACACGATTCTATTGGTCTGGATGAGTTGTGGCATTGAAGGGGTAAATGACCTGCTTTAGCAGATTGAATAACACTATTTTTCTCTCTATTTGCAGACGGAAGGCTGTTACCAATCAACAGAAAACAAAAAGTGTTCCCAAACGGAACTCTGATCATTGAAAATGTCGAGAGGGCCTCCGACCAGGCGACCTATGTTTGCGTCGCCAAAAACTCCCAAGGCTACAGCGCCCGAGGATCTTTGGAAGTTCAAATCATGGGTGAGCTGATATTTTTTTTTTTTAGGGTGCTGTCAAAGCTGTCAACGAAATTTAATTTTCTTCTATCATTGTTTCAATTAACTCTACGCTATAAAGCAAATTATTGAATAAAAACCAACAATTATTATTATTATTGTAACTCTGCAATTAAAATTAAAAATAAATAAATTAATTAAATCGGATATAATTTGGACAGGACAGCACCCTAAATAATTACTTTATAAAATATTTTCTTTCCACTTTAGGGAGTAATAATAATTTATTGTACGTGTACGTACCACTGATTATGGAGAAAGAGGATATGGAAGCGAAAACATTGTTGCAAGACTTTCAGTTATATTTATTGCGGCCTTTTCGGCAAATTTTGTAGAATTTATTTCAATACTTGATTTTGGGAAAAAGAGGAAATCTTCGGCAGCAACGAATCACCTATAACCTCCCATTCTGTATTTTTCTCTGTTCAAAAAAAGGATGTATGCATTGTTTTAACATTCGCTATTCAGGTGGCAGCATACGATTGCCTAATTTTAGCATACCTAACAATTTTAAGATTCTTTCAATTTGTTTTTACCTCACTTCTCATAAGAGCGATAATCCATGAACGCCCTTTTAGCTCTAATTATACTCAGAGCTGGACAGAGTAGGTGCTTACCACTCTACTTGTGTACCGCTACTAGAGAAACTGACTTCGATTTCAAGACTCAATGAAAAAATCAATTGAACCCAAATCGTTTTGTGTTATACATACTACAGTTCCTTTAAAAAATTGAATGTTCTAGGATCCTCTGGCAGGCTACAAGGAACTCTGTAGGGATCTGTTTTGGGATTGAATTCAAGAGTGATTTGCTATAAGCTATAAGTCTGGTGTCAATATAATCGTTTTTTTTTACTTTGCTTCTACTGAGATAGATAATGTAGATTGGAAGTTTATGTAGGAATATTTTAGCAGCAAAAGCTGTTTTTGGTTTCGAGGAATGAGTCAGTCATTTAATACATGTTTGTTGCTCGTAGAAAAAAGTGCTACAAAGAGTATTATAGCTTAGATTGTTTTTGCTTCAAGATACTCATATATTCGTAACTCGTCAAAGCATGCATTGTGTACATAGGTACTCAAAAATTTCTAGCCTAAATACAGGAATACTCACGGGTAGCTACTACTGACTACTTCGCTACAATTTACTCAGGTATAGTCCAGCTCTGATTCTACTCTATGTACAGTGGCACCTGCGATTAGTCCCTTCCAATTCGACGGGCCGCTAAACGCAGGCGACAGCGTCGTCCTCACTTGTTACGTGCCCAAAGGCGATAAACCAATCAAAATCAAATGGTACCACAACCATCGCCACGTGAGCACCCATTCCAGGGGAATTGCCACGTCAGCTTTTGGCAGTCAAGCAAGTCTTTTGACAATTCAAAGTGTTGAACAGCATCATCGTGGAGAGTATACTTGTTTGGCTACAAATGGGGCTGGAAAAGCGAGTTTTTCCGCACGGTTGGATGTAAACGGTATCCTATATTAGATTCTATTCTTTCTATTGAAATTTTTTGTTTTTTAAATGTGATTTTCTTTTTTGAACCTATCTTAGACCAGCTATTAGGATAGATTTAATATGAAGGTATTTACTTTGTTTGTTTGAAAGTGGAAGGAACGTGCACTTATTTGGAAACATGATTTCAAACTTGCATCACCCGTATAATATTATATTCAATATTTGCGACCAATGAAGTATCTCCAGTTATCATTTTCAGCTTGTCAAGGACTGAATATAGAGTTTACTGGTCGAAACTTTACAATTATTAAAAATAAAGGTAATACAAAATCATGTCTCCAAATAAAGGTACTTGTTATGAAATAATAACTTAACTGCACTCACTTGTAACTTATTCAAGTTAATAAAGTATCAATGGAAAATTAGAAATATGCCACATATCCCGGATATCTGGCAAAAAATTTGACCAGATAATTAAATTCAGGTTATGATCCGGTTTAGACCCTAAAGTTAATTTTTCTGAATGACCTGCACCTGAATCTTTTTTATGAAAAGTTACTCCTTGACCATTTTTTCTCTGTTATGACTTTCAGAGTAATTTTAAATATAAACTTTTTAGTTTTATTTCCATTTGAAAATAATAATAAACACCATTGAAACAAATAAATAATCTGGTAGGACATATTATGTGACAGAGCTGGGTAATACTTACCTACACAAAGTACTCAGTATGGGGTACATCTTTTATTGAAGGCTCATTTATAATTATTAGGAACATGGAAAGATCATTGTTTAAACTTTTAATTTCACATCTAAGTGTCCACAAATACCAGAAAAAAAAAAAGATTTGCCTTATACTCGAGAATGTTTAAGCACATTTCAGGTACTCACGAATACCTTTACTATTGCACTGTATATTGAAATTATTTCAGTTGCCCCACAAGTATCTCACTTCAGCTTTTCCGATCAAGTGGTAAATGCAGGAGAAATGGTTAGTGCCCAATGTGTAGTGTCAAAGGGGGATTTGCCTATCAAAATTTCCTGGTTGTACAATAATGAAGCTATCGTGAATGGCGGGAGTCATGGTATCATTGATAGGAGTATGAATAGGAGAATTAGTACAATTAGTATTGAATCAGCTGATGCTGTTCATGTTGGAAATTATTCATGTGTTGCTGAGAATGTTGCCGGAAGAGATAGTTATACTGCGACGTTACATGTTTATGGTAGTGTTCCCATAAATATTCAATTAGCTGCGGTTTTATGTATTTGACCTGAAATTTCCTATTTTACCCTTTTTGTGCCCTTTTATTGGTGCCACTGTAGAATATTCTATCTTATTATCATAAATTAAGTTATAAATGAAGTCAGTGATGGTTCTTTGAGATAGCATCCAATGTATATTCGACTAATTTCTAAACAGTGCTTTTCCATTGCATCCTACACAAAATCTTGCTATTTATGAAAATCACAATATTGAGAACTTATCTTTCCGTGTGAAAATTTTGATTACGTTATTAGTGACAAAGGAATTTATTTAACTTTCACTGAAGTAAGTAAATCAGATTTTGCTCTTATCTCTTATCTAAGCTATAGAAAGTTTCTGTTCTGTTGCGTCCATTGCGATGCCGTTTCTAGAGGTTTTGTGATTATGTGGAACGTTAAGTAAATGTGTTGTGCTCGAAGAGTCTGCACCAGCCTGTATACAATTTTTCTCCAAAAAATTATTTCAGATTGGTGTGCGTTTCTTAAAACTACTATCTACGCAATTATTTTAAATGAAATTAGTTTAACCTGATCCAAAGGAGCTGAAATAATTGAAAAGTAGTTCAGATATCATTTTAGTTTTAATAAAAACTGTATTTCTATCCATAAACTCTACTAATGTAATTCGGTAATTCGGAGGAATCGTTTTTAGGCACCTGTTTACTCCTTTTACCAAATTTATACCAAGTATGTATATTTTGCACAAGCATAAATATTTGAGCACAGTAAATACACACTCTGTTCAGCTTTGTGATAATTGAATATACATATTATATATACAGAGTGGAGCATAATAACTGTAACTTTTCAATTACCTCGTATACGAAAAAGTGGCTTTCATGAAAGTTGTTCAGTAAATTATTCGCCACATTCCAACCTGCATGAATTTTGTCTTCTAATTCTGGTTTAGTTGCCATCAGATCAACTTGTGTGTTTTTTTTTTTTTCAAATCTATTCAAAATTTTCACCTATCACTCCGCAACCATAAATTCATAATCTGAGATAAATTCCCAATATCATAAGTATAAAAGGGCATAATGCATTTAAAAAATGTGAGTTTTTTTCTAGCTGTCATTACCCGAGAAACAGTTGAAAATAGGTGAAAATTTCAAATACAAAAAATTCATTGTTTTCTCAGTAGAATCAAAATGTGTAATCACATGCAGGCAGGGTGTTCCACTTAAAAAAACAAAGCTGGTCTGGATGGCAACCAAACCAAAATTGACAGAAATTTTTTTTTGCAGGTGTAAAAATGTGGGGAATAATTTACTGAACAACTTTCATGAAGGCTACTTTTTCGTATACGAGGTAATTGAGAAGTTACAGGTATTATATGCAAATTTTTTTTGCCACTATGTATATATTATGTGAAATCATATATTTTATTTATTTTTTTAAAATAATTTCAGTCCCACCTCAAATTACCCACTTTACCTTTGGTGAAGAAAGCGTCAATGCTGGCGATATAGTAATTACTCAGTGCACAGTCATCAAAGGAGATCTTCCACTGAAAATTTCATGGTTTTTTAATCAAAGGCCCATCAAAGTTTTGCATGGTGCCACTGTGGCTAAGAATAATCAACGGATCAGTTCACTGACTATAGAATCAGCTGACGAGATACATTCAGGAGAATATCTATGTTTGGCTGAGAACGCCGCTGGGAAATCAAGTTATTCAGCATTTTTGAATGTGAATGGTATATGGAGAACTAATATTAAACCTATCTACCTGTTTAGTTTTTTGTAAATATTTGCCATTATTCCCATACCTGCCTATCCTCTAATTTATTATCGTTTTAAAGAGAATCTGTTGAATGGATGCTGCATAAAATTGGCCTTTTAAATAATTTGTTTTTGTTCTGTTTACTGATAACCGCTATGCTTTTCTCGCTCGTTAGAAAAATAATTGTGTGCATATTCTCTCTTTAGTTCCACCTCAAATTGCCCATTTCACTTTCACCGATGAGGTGGTAAACTCTGGGGATATGGCCATCAGCACCCAATGCGCCATTACCAAGGGTGATTTCCCATTGAAAATTTCCTGGTATTTCAACGGAAATTCCATTAATACTTTACATGGCATTTCTGTAATAAAAATCAATCAACGTATCAGTTCATTGAGCATCGACTCGGTGGACGCAATCCATTCCGGCGTGTATTTGTGTGTTGCTGAGAATGCTGCTGGACATGATAGATATTCGACAATATTGAACGTTAATGGTAAAATTTATGTATATAGTTTCT